GGGACACTCACAGGAATTCTGAAAGAGCTGTAGCTGCATCTCAACAAGTGGGAAGCTCTGGCGGAAACTGTAGGTCACAAGGATCTTCTTCTTTTGGAAAATCTTTGTCACCTAAATGGAGGAGAGAGAACCATGAGTCAACCGCCATGCTTCATTTCCTAATCTACAACTCACTGAAAAAATAACGTATACATTTATGTAATACTAAAGATATAAAACGGAATCTCTTTTCATATGGCTGGACGCAATTGACTCTAGCAACTTTTTAAAGAAAGTGCCACATGAGTCAGTCCAGTATTTTCATCTCACATTAGTCATAAACTGTACAAAATGAGTGTCTAATTCATCACAGGTTTTCACAGCAAACTGGGATGTAGCTGCATGGTGGAAGCTCTCGTTGATATCCCTCTCAGACACAGCTTTGAAATTCTAACTTTTAAATTGCTTTTTAAAAAACAATAATTTTACAACACTATGATGGCACTACCAGTCAAACGCCTTTCAAATGGGCATAAATTTTTAAAATTTCGTTTATATGTCTATCTTTTCTTCTTAAAAGGCCTCTTTCCTTCCCAGTAAGCAGTTTTACCAGAAAGCCCATTTTCATTATTCTAATCCATCAGTCTATCTCCAGCATTGAAATACTCTCAGTATTTCCTCTGTGACGTTGGCTCAACTAGATAGGCAAAAGAGAAAAAGAGATCCAGGATGTGGCAAGCCGGCAAATGGCCCAATTTGATAGAAACAGAGCCTGTCTAGGCCCCTTTGCTTCTCAACAACGCCCATCTTGTTCCAAGCCTTTCATCACCTGGGTTTTTCAAAACTTTTGCATGAGAAGACAGAAACTTTCCCAACTCTATCTCTTCCCAAAGAAGCTGAATTCCCTCACCCCCCCTTGACCTTACCACTAAGAGGTCATTGAAGAGGAAGACTTCCCTTTGGTGCAGGCCAAGCCTCTGGGGCCGGTTGGGATCGGGGACCTCATACAGCTGGCAACAGCACACCAGGCGCCTATGGGGCAGAGAGAGAACCTGGTGGGATAGAGAGGAAGAACATGCTGGGAACAGATCTGGAAAATAAGTGCTTGGGAAAGCTCTCTTTGCAAACCACAGTCGACCATCCCTGAAGACAGCTTCCACTCACCGGCTTTTTGCCCACAATCATGCGCTCAACTGCCTGGACCTGAGAAACGTGATCATCATTGGTGCGCAGTTCTCGGCTCTGTATCCGCTGGTAAATCCCTACCAAGAGGTCACGGGGAATATCCTCCCCATTATCAACCCCTGGCAAAGAAACCAAGAGGGGGAGTCAACAGAGAACAGAAAGGCCACATTTAGTCTGCCTAATAATACCGTAACCACATAGCATACTATTGTATGTTTTAGGCCTTGTAGGCCAGTCACAGCCTTATGCTTCAGTGTAATTTAAAAAATGAATTTTTGCAAGAAATTCATTCAGATCTCTGGCAAGATTTTATTTCACAGGTCCCTGGCAGCATATCATTAGGGAGGGAGAGGGGAAAAAAGGGAAGGGGAGCAACAAGTGCCACAAAGAGAAAATGAAAATGAATGACCTATGTAATAAGTGGTGACTTTGTTCTTGCACCATTTATCTCAAACCTGTCCTTTGCCACCACATGGCCCCCATAGATTGCATACTGACAAAAAAGCATTTTTCACACGCAAAAAATTGTTCAAAATAAACCCATATATCATTTTCAAAGCCTGCAACAGCCCTGAAAGTTAGGCTAGTACAATTCCCATATTGGGAACTGTGAGAATATATACTGCCACCAAACAGCCTACAGTAAAATAACAATAAATAGCTGCTTTGGAATTGCATCCAAGGCGCCTATGACTATTGATTCTTTCTTTGCTTTCTTTGTTCTATTTCTATTTGCAGGTCTTTGCATTTTGTGATTTTTCTCCCCAGTTCCTTCTCCTAATCTGTCTCCAGTTACTGCCACATCTACTATCTACACTTTTTTGTCTTTCTTATCGACAATGGTTAAGTCTGGGGTGTTATGGGGCAGGTCTGTTTGAAGTCTAAAGTTCAAGAGTATTGTAGCTTCTTCACTTTCTATTATTTTCACTATTTTATGGTCCATCAGTTCCTGCTTGCAAGCAAATAGTATTTCTTGCAGATATTCCAGTGCACCATTGCTGCTGCTTTCTCATGCTGTTGTTTATAGTCAGTTCTGTGTGTTACATTTTAAATTTACTGACAAAGAATTAAAGGGAGACTAGTATAGCTATTTCGAACTATTTAGTTCTCATCAGCTAGCAATTTCGAGCTATTTAGCTCTCATACTAGTCTCCCTTTAATTCTTTGTCAGTAAATTTAAAATTTAACACATAGTCTGTCGCAGAATGCGAGTGCCTGTGAAGGCTCCTAGATTGGGGCTAAAAGGCAAAAGCGGAAGCAGTATAGTCCATCCCATATTTGGGTAGACCAGGTTGCCCTGATAGATCTGTCTCACCGGAAAACACTTCAGTTCTATCTGCTCTTCTTGCAACGGCTAACTCTTAAACATTATTGGCATTGACAAAATCACCACCAGTCAATTGCAAAAGACAGTTTCTCTTGAAATAGCTTACATCCTTTGATGATACCTTTTATACCATCAAACAACATCTGCCTATCTCAGGTCCTTGGGAAGGATTCGATAGGTGGATAAAAGTGCCAGATCCAGTGTAAACATCTGGTTGACCATGCCACCAGACATAATAATCATAATCCTATCCAATTCAGCCCTGGGCAACATTTGTTCATAATCCAGAAAATTCTAGGTCCTAAACATTCCCCAGAAACATGATCTGGGCAACTTTTTCTATTATGGAAAACAGAGGTCTGTCAACCGAAGCTGTTCTTCAGTCCACAATATTCTGGCTATTATGTTTAATCCAAATTGATCTTCATTAAAAAAATCATTTAAAAAGCATTTGATCAAAACAATATCAATTTCTATTTTGAAATAAATCATACCATTGAGTTCAGGTTGTACTTCCTTACCATTTTAATTGAAACTGGTAGTAGCTTTGCTCATGGTAATGAGTTACATATAATCATACAGTGTGACAGCTGGAAGGAACCTTATAAATCATCCACTACTGCTGACCATCCAGCTCTTTAAAAACTTGCAGCAGGACACCACTGTTCCAGATAGAATATTCAGCTGCTTAACATTTCTTACCATTAGGAAATTCTTCCAAATATTCAGCCTAATCTTTTTTTTTAAAATAACAAAAGTCAGTGTTTGTTCTATCTCCAGTTTCAACAGACGGCTAATCATTTCTATTTTTCACTGGACAGTCTTCTCTTTGGAAGCTAAACATGACTGTAACTGGTTTTTTTTTCCATTCCTTAGTTTCCAGAGACCTTATTGTCCTGATAATTCTCCTTGCTTCACCTTCTTCATGTCCTTTTCAAAACACAGTGGCCGGAATTGAACACCGTACTCCTAATGCGGAGTAATCAATGCAGAGCACAAAGGTATGATTACATCCCACAGTCTGGATGCAATGCTGCCTAAGATTGTATCAGTCATTTGAACTGCTGCATCGTTGCTGGCTTATACTCAATTGGGGGTCCACTAGGACCCTTAGACCTTCTCATATACATTGCCCTCAAGCAGGTTCTCTTCAATCTTGTATCTCTGCATCTGAATTTTCCTACACAGATGAACAACTTAGATTTGTTCCAATATTCAAGCCTTCTGAAATATTTTTGAACCACAATTTTGCTTTTTAAGGTGTTAGCTATTTCCCCTAGCTTGAAGTCATCTGCAAATTTATTATAATAATTTGCTTTTTATATATTTTTATTTTCTTGTTTTTTCATAGTTCATTATTGCTGAGTCACCTCTAAAGAAAAAGGAGAGGCAATGTTTAAGATGACACCTTACTATTTTCATACCCAAAGCTTTGAGTAGCTTGTATTAAAGTATTGACAAATTATGTCTAGGTATTATAAATTTTGGACCAAAACAAGCAGAAGTCTGGAATGCGCAATCTCTTTCTTGCCATGTAATTAATTTCTTATTATCTTAATCATTTGCAATAATTAATGGCACTGAAGTCATGTCTCCAAAATTGCTGCAACCTTTTCTTGCATCTCTCTAGCTTCTGAGATTTTACCAAACTTGCTCACAAACTTGCAAGTATGTATTCTCAGCTTTGAGAACAAGGAAGAAATTGCTGGGTTTAAGGCCCAAGGTTCAAGCCTTCTGAAATAATTTCAAATCATGATTTTGTTCCTTAAGATATTACTCCTTAAGATATTACTCCTCCCACCAACTTGATGTCATCTGCAAAAATGATATAACAATTTGCTTATTCTTTACTTTTATTTATTATTTTTTCATAGTCCAGTATTGTTGAGTCACCTCTAAAGAAAAGAAAACTAAAAACTTTCAGAAACCAAATGGTGCATTCACCAGTTCACCATTTTCTGAGCTCCCACAGAATTACACATAAGTACAGACTGAAGAGAGCAGTGAATGACATATATTCTGCATGGGAATCAAAAGAAAAGCAAAGAAGCAACAGCAGCAAAGATGTTGGGAATTCCAGAGACTTTTTTTTAAAAAAAGAGGATTCTTACTTACCCCGCAGGTTTTTGATGAAGTCATCCAGCTTCATCTTCCTCTCTGCTTTGACACTGGGGCTATACATGTCAGTGTTGAGAAGGATGATGGCAAAAGCTAAGATGAAGATGGTGTCAGGGTTCCGAAACTGGCGCACCAATGGGGCATTGCATACACAGTAGCGCTGGCTGGAAGAAATCGGGTTGAGGTTATGACAAAGAAGCAAACAATTCAGATGGAAACGCACTTCTCAGTTCTCATGAACGGTACATTGGGCTCAAGCCATAGCCCACCATTAAAAAATATTGGTCATAGATACTATTTGAATATCTAAATAAACCTTTAGCCATGAATTTGCAGGTAATATATAAATATATGGGCATATTAACCTATTTATCAGTTTTAAGATATAAAATCAATTTTTGTAATGCTAATCGACTGAAAATTTAGATCATGAATCTTTTGATTAATCTGATTAATACAGCCTTACCAACTGATTCATGTATTAATATATTCAAATATTAATTGGTAATTTGTTAAATTTATATGCCACCCATCTCAGGGAAACTATGAGTGGCTGAAACAATGCTGAAACACCAGTGCCTGGTAAACCATGCAACCATTAGTTAGAAATGAATACTGACTATCTATGAGGTGAAGGAAAATGGAGATTACTAACAACAGACTTGTAACAAATTGTGCTTTTATATCTGCAGCATTTTGATTTAACTTAACCAGGAATTCCAGAGTCACTCCAAAACCTGACTTCATACTTTCCACCGAAGAAGGGAATTCTAGCAATATTTTAAAAAGGGGGAGATTTTGTGAAGGTGTTTCACTAAGTGTGAATGCCAGGCAAGTAAGACAAATGAGGAGGGAGGGACTGATCCATAGAGAGGAAGCTCATATTCTCAAGGCTGCTCCCAGTATTTAGGGAGTTAAGCTCCATTTCTGAACATGCTTTCCCATGTGAACTACACCTCATTATTCTGTCCAATTCTCTTGATCTCTGCTTCTTAAAATAAATTCTCCAGTCCTGCAATTATTTCATAAAAGTGCAGCTGGTGGTAGCAAAAGAAATAAGACATGCTATGGTATTCTTAAAGACTAAGTTCTTCACCTTAAGCCTGACAAATTACTTCACTTATTCAAGATGATTGGCTGAAAATCTTATCACACGCTGGCCTGTGGTGCATTGTATTTCTCTACAATGGAAAAAAGACTGCTGTTTTTTGTTTTTTTTTACCGTGAGCATCCTTTCAGTGTGAGAGTAGATGGTTTTGTCAGGCTCATACATTCGCATTCTACTCTGATAAATGGACTGAGTGGATGAGACTGATGCCAATAGATACAGGCAGACAGGCAGACATATTAAACATATCACAACATGTTTTATACACTGTGGAAATAAGCCTGCACACCTAGGAGACTTGTGTCTATAAAACCTATGCACAAGAATCAATACACCAATATTCCCTTTCATTATTAGCAAACCAACATCTTCAGCCAGCCTGATATTAGAAAGAACCAATTAGCTGAATATACCAGCAGGCTAGCAGAAGCTCAACAAGAAATCTACAAGAATGATAGCTGAAGAACAAAATTTGATCCAAGGTATTGGAATTACAACTTCCACTGATCATATCCAGCATCATAAATGTTTGCTAAGTAGGACAAAGGACACAAATGACTAAACATACATGATGATATTAAGCAAACAATATAAATTAGGGAGTTGCATCAGACATTGGGACACAAAAACATAATCATAGCATTTACATCAGGGGTTCCCAACCGGGGGTGCTCACACTCCCTGGGGGTGCTCAACAATATTCCAGGGGGTAAGAAAATGTGGGTTTTCAAAATTATAGTGTATATGCATAATTTGTTGCTGTTGTTTTGATCTTTTGTAAGGGGTGCAAGAATATATCAGAAGCGTTCTAGGGATGTGGAGTATAGAAAAGGTTGGAAGCCACTGATTTACACGATGCCACCATCACATGTGCTAACTTGAGGATATGATTTGCTGCACAAGTTGCTGTCAAGCATGGTCATAGACAATACAAATTCACAGGGATTTTTGGACAAAGCCATACATTTCTATTGCCTGTGGTCTGTTTTCTAGACTAATCTCTCCTCTCATACTTCCAAATGCTAAAGGAAACTGTGGAAAGATGGTTCCATCTTCAACATACCTGAAGGCCTCAATGAGACGCTCCACCTTCTGGGCCTCACCTTGCACCCGAATGTGTGACTGGAACTTTCTCAGGGCATCATCCAGGTCCATGCTGGAGAAGTCCATCTCATCTACAACACAGCTATGAAGCAGAAAAATACAGGGAAGGAAAAGAGACACATTGGTTCAGTACAAATAAGGTTGAGCACCGGGAGACCATGAGCTCTTATCCCACCTCAGACACAAAATGAGTTGTGTGACCTTGAGCTAGTCACTCTCTCAGCCCTAGGAAGGAGGCAATGACACACCACTTCCAAAAAACCCTGCCAAGAAACCTATAGGGACTTGTCCAGGTAGTCACCAGGTGTCTACAATGATTTGAAGGCATGTATGCACACACACACACACACACACACACACACACACACACACACACACACACGTATAAGGATATTCCTTCCTTTGTCCATCTTCATTTCCAAGTCCATATACTTCCTTTAAAATGCTCATATAAACAGTAAGGCTTACTTTGAAGAAACTCTTAGAAATCCCTTCACAATTTTTAAAAGCAGTTTGTAGGATAAGAAAGAAAATAATGGATCACTTTATTTAACCATTTCTCTCAGCACAAAATGCACTACATCCCAAATTAGTAGCTGATTCTTCTAGAGACCATTCAGAAAGAGAAATTCCGCAAGCATGATTACTTCTTTGATGATGTTTAAATTGTTGCTTTCTTGTAAAATTTGTTCATTTCTCTCTTCCAACAGACATCTTTTAAAAATATCTAAGAATAAGTAATATGTCTTCTTTTCTAAAGGCCAATATTTTATCTAATCTAAAGTCATTCTCTACAAAAGTTCTCTTGTCTTCAATAGCATGAAAACAGCAAGTTAATATTAAAAACAAGCAAGTTATAGCTTTACATAAGGCTTAGGGTCCAGGTGGACTGTACGAAGCAAAATTGTGACAATGGGAAGGAAAAATGTGTAGATCTCCTTACTCAAGTACATCTCGGTTGAACTGCTTCTGCCGGTTGCCAAGAAATTCTCCAATCATCTGCCGGCTCAGCCCCTTCCGCTCCAGGATAAATCGGGCCACGCCCACCGGCGTATCCGACAAGAAGCCTCTCTCAATTAAATACTGGATCCCCTTTTCTGGTTTCCTGCCAGTGGGATGAGAAGAATTCATGTATTCATACTTGCCTGAAATTGCTTTTGTCCCAAACCCATTTTCCTTCCATCTCCTTTATTAGAGAAGAAACACTGACCCTTTTCCAAATAAGCTTCTGTTTCCAAAAAAACACTATAACTTTGTCTCTACTGTATATTAAAATTCTAGATATTCACTATGAAAGTATCCTGAATGCCCAGCCTGATATAGTTTTGTATCATTTATCTGGGAGAATAAGAAAGCTAGTGAAAGCGTCCTTAGTTATGGAATGTTAGTTATATTTATTGCAGTTTGCTAAACATTATAGAGAGTTAATGAGTTTTCGTTCATTTTGATCCCTTCCCTGAATTCCATCGGTCACATTACCAGATCCAAGACTGAATTAGATTTATAATAATAATAATAATAATAATAATAAAGTTGGAAGGGACCTTGGAGGTCATCGAGTCCAACCCCCTGCTCAGGCAGGAAACCCTACACCATTTCGGACAAATGGCTATCCAGTCTCTTCTTAAAAACTTCAAGTGTTGGAGCATTCGCTGCTTCTGGAGGCAGGTTGTTCCACTGGTTAATTGTTCTAACTGTCAGGAAGTTTCTCCTTAGTTCTAGGTTGCTTCTCTCCTTGAATTAAGGAGATTATGAAATGAGATTATGCAGAACCAGATATTCCTCCTTTAAAGCAGCTACAGAAAGCCCCACCAAGCTGACATATGAGGTTTCATTGCCATAGTTGGCAACAGATTGATGAGCCTTCAGGTGTGCTTACTTACACATGGTATAAGAAAGAGCTGGGGAGAAGATGTAGGTGAGGTGGGAATTAAGCCATCCCATTTACACCTACTGCCTTCCAGATGCTGCTGCTAGCCAGAGGGCTGGAGAAGATGGGATCTAAAATCCAGAATCTATGAAAGTAACCTCCACACTGACTTCGGTCAAAGAGAAGAGTATTAATATTTCAAATAAATGGACTGTTCAGATGGCTTGCTAGATAAATTATATTTTTTTAGTATAATTAATGATGTCACTTGAGAAAGTAGGGCCATTCTTTAAACCCCCTTTTCCACTTGGGGTGAGAGATTGGTTTTCTAAAGCCTTAAATAATAAGGAAGGAAAGATTATAAGGCTGAACATTGCCATTTACCACTGAATATTCACAGTATGATCCTATACGTAGAAAAGGGGGGGAGGCTTGGAAAAAATGGAATGGGGGGGCAAGTTGTTCAGCCATGCTTGTGATCTGATATCTCGAAGCCTCAGTAACTTAGCTGATAAGGAGCAGTGAAGGCCTCAGAAGGCAGAAATATTCAACATCTTTTTAAAGTCTGTTCTTCCGGAAGTCTATTCTGCCACCAACCGAGCTCCCTTACAGCCACAAGATGTCAGCATCACCCTTTTCATTCTCTGTTTCTCCAAAACACATGCTTGAGATTTTTGAAAAGAGGTCAGTGGTTGGGGAGGGGGAGGGGGCAGGGGCAGACAAGGAATTTCTGTATCCACAAGAAATTAAGTGGAAAGCAGTCAAGCGCCACCAAGCCATACCTTACCAGATTCTTTTTTCTGATTGCCCAGAATGTAATAGTTTAAGGGACAAGTATGAGGCATTAAATTAAAGGTGCTCCAGGGATTGCATGTCCCACTTGGTGCTGTTAAAACCTTAGGACTCCAAAACAGAGAACATAATTCTCTGAGCTGAGAAGAGATAAGCAACAGGAGGCAGTGAGCTTAGACTTGTGGGCATGAGCAGCTTTTGCTCACGATTACAGGTTTTAGAGCAGAGAACTTCCTCACAGACTGTTGTCCTCATCTATTAATCTGTGTTTAAGTCTCGGGGAGGTTTAGATTTCCTGCCTTAGGTACCAAAAGGCCCTATCATGGACCAGACTAATTCCTCAATTGCCAGATTGAAGGATGCACACAGAAATAAATGCTCAAGGATCGCCTCCAGGAGGAAGGGCACAGAGATTTCCTATCCTGGCACATTGCCCCAGGCTTCAATGTGAGTCATGATTCCAGCTGGTTAATGTGATGTGACAGCGGGCTTCCCAGCCCCCAAGAGCCTGCTTCCTGCCAGTGATAAAGATGCTGTCTGGCTCAACAGCAATTAAAGCTCTAAGGACCAGAGGTAGCTAAAACCTAAGCCTTCCACCATCACTTTTGCTTTGACCTAAAGACCTGATAGACACTGTAGGAAGCAGCCACTCAAATGGAATAGCTGGGGAAAAGCAACAGGGGCACAGAAAGGTATTAGGTGAGGTCTCCACCTTCAGACTGGCAATGGTCCTGTCCTTTAAAAAGATGAAACTCTCCCCTTATCATTTATCTTACACCATCAGGCTGGAAAAAAATTCATTTGCTTAAGTTTGGTATAGCAGAGCCCATGTTGTTGTTGTTTTATTAAGGTAGCAAAAGGTAGCAGTAGAAATAGGTAAAAAGGAGATAATGCTATATATTTAGGATTGAAATCTCATGTTTCAAAATTTGGGGATGAGAGAAGGAAAGGGAATCAGATTTTTGGAAAGCACAATTCCAAGTAAAATCCAGTTGCTAAAATAACCATCCTTCAGGTTGTCTACTGGGTGTCTCTAGGAAAACCTTCAGAAATAGAAGGCTGCATGCGTGAAGATTAAGAATTGTTGCCCAACATATATATATATACATACTGTGGGTATCCATGTTTTTAAAACTCCATAAAATATTCAATTTTTGACCAGCAGAAATCCTTCTATAATGTGACCTGTTTATTTCTTGTAGACCATATTTCATTCAGACGATGCCCAGACCATTAAATTCTGCTCCTTATGTGTTATTTATATACTCCATTGGTGATCCAGACTATACAAAGAAAAGAGTCTTCCCATACTGCCTATCTTTTGGAGAGCAATTTGGAAGTTACAATAGGCAGAAGGATCTCAGTCAAATGGCTTTGCTTCAAAGAGAAGGCCACAGCAATTCTGTAAGACAGTTGGACACGGGGATATACCCAATGCATCCTTGGTGATAAAGACTGGGCTTGTACCAGGGAGATCCAAATTCAAGTCGCCCCTTGACCCCTGAGCTCACTGGCCAGCCATTCTTTTTCATTATAATCTAATCCACAGGAGATGAAATTAGCTACAGGTACAGCATGTCACTTGGAGCTCTCTGAGAAAAGATGACAGATGTTAAGTAGCAAAAAAAACAAAAGTGAAAAAAACACTCAAAGCTGACATAGCACTTCTGTCCTCAAGTCAAAGAGCTACTCAAAGTCATCCCCCCGCCCTGCCCATGCTAAATCCAGCTGGATCTCTGTAAGCCAGACCAGCCCTGGAGCCTAACACAGCCTTCTGCTGAACATGCTTAAACTACTGTTTTCCTCATAGCGCTCTGCCCACACCAGTCATACTTGTTGAAAAGGTTGAGGCCGATTCGGTACTGGCGGCGCTGCACCACGTCATTGTTGAAGGCAGGAGAGTCCCAGCTATGCCGCGTCTCACGCTGGTAGGTCTGCTTGCAGGGCCCGACAGTTGTTGTGGTGGCTGGGGCAGGTGGTGGCGGGTCACGCAGGCTGTCCCGTGAGGAGGATCCTGAGCTGCAGTTGATGGTCTCGTTGGAGTTGGTGGTGCTGTTGAGGCTGTCGTTGTCGCCATCTGAGTTGTCCGGCGGAGGAGGCGGAGGCAGGCGGCCTGGGGCCTGAGGAGGTGGGATGGGCAAAGGTGGAGGAGGCTGGCTTTGCTCGGGATGATAATGGCGGTGTGGGTGTGGGGAGCGGGCAGGCCCGCCAGGATGTTTGAGGGTGCCATGGGGGCTGCAGCCATCTTGCTCATACATGAGCCCCCGACTGAGTGAACCCCGATCAGAACGGTCGCTCAGATCCACTGAGCTGTCACTGGGAGGCTCAATTGTGAGCAAGGGCAGGTGAGCGCCCCGAAGGCGGTAGTCCCGGCATTCCATGCAAGGTGTGCTGCGCCGGCTCCCACCCCCATTCTCCCGGTTGTCCTCCCGCTGGGGCACCCCCCAGTACTCCGGCCGTGGGGGTGGTGGGAGGGGCACTCCCGGAGCAGGCTCTGGGGGCTCAGTGCTGGGGGGGCGCTCCAGAGAGAGGGGTGACGTGAGAGCGCCTTCGTCCAGATAGAGTGTGACATCACTGAATGAAGTGGCAGCACTGTCACCCTGCTGCTCCTTGGATTCACTTTTTTCCAAAGTGGGGCCACCAGGTCCTCCCTCCTGGCCAAGTGGGTGGCAGTTTAAAGCTTCATCAATCGATTCTGCCAAGGACTTCACCTATGGAGAGGCAGAAAAGGAGGTCAGCCAGGGCAGATTCTCTTTGACACTGTAATGGTGCGGGAGACTGGAGGAAGAGCCACAGACTGGACAACAGTCAGATAAGATGCAGATTAGTTTGCAGAAGGAATGGGGACATGGAAAATGTCTCAGAGGGGAACCTCCCTAATTTCTCTGACTGTAAAAAAAAAAGGGGGGGGGGGAACAATGGGCTTTCAGATTTGCAAGAGTCTATTAATGTAACCTTATCCTAAGGATAGATCTAATACTTTGGGGTGTGCTTCTTAACTGGACTACCTCGCAAGGCTGACAGGGGCTCAGTACATACTGTGAGAAAGAAGTGGGAAAAAACAATTCTCTACTGATTAAATCAATCCTGTACCTTATTTTAATTAATGAACTCCCATTTGAATAATCTTTTATGAAACATATGGTACTGCAACAGTGAGAAGACAAGTAAGTTACCAATGCAGAATGCAGAATTGTTATAGTATCAAGCTCATTATAGTATTGATGTACTGAAATGAAATCTGTGAACACAAGTGATCCAAAGCATGATTTATAGGCAAGATGCAGTTAATAGTTTTATTCACACTAAGTTTCTTCAGTACTGCTGTGATATTGTTTTTCTTCCATTAACTGGGAAAACATAGGATTCCATACAAGGTTTTCATATAATCTCTCCTATTTGCAAGGACTTTTGTTTGACATTTCCTTCAGTGCTATTGGGGGTGGGTGGGTGGGAGTCATCTGCAGTGCAATGTCAACTCGTGCTGTTGCTTTCCATGAGTAAGTCTGGGACACAGAATGGCAACCCAAGAGAAAGAAGCTAATGTTTCATTGCCATCGGTTGCAAGATTCAGCATAATACGATGAAGTGAGAATGGAAATATTTTCCATTCAGATATTCAAAAACCCCAAAGACACCTATGAATTTACCTGAACTTACTTATTTGGTACACAGTATTTCAGGCTTCAGAACAGTCTATGACTTGGAGTGAGTAGAGATTGCTTCCAGATCAGTAAGTACCATAAAGTAGTTGTTACACATTATATGAGAAGTCATTTTGAGGGAGAAGTATTAGGCCCATTATCATCTCTTTGTTGTCGTGTCAGAAAAATTGTCCATCTTGTTACTCATTTGCCAAGGCTAAAAATCAGTGCTTTTTAAATGAGACTCAAGAGGCTGTTTTCTGTGCCAAGGAATCCCTAGATGCAAAACTCAGACAACCCCTGGATATAACTCTTCCCTGCCATTTAATGGTCATCCGAGTTTTTGCAACCCAAACATGGTACAAAAAGCTCTGGGAGTATCTAATCCTGGGCAGAGCATGAAGAGGTTCTAACATGGTGAAACAGCAGAAACTAACATAAATGGTATTAAAAGGAACTCGGATTGTTAACCAGTCTATAAACATAATTTTAATAACACTAAAGTATGTTAATTATTTGATGCTGAACTTGATTGGTTATCCCTGTACTTTTGCATTCCACAACAGAAATACGCCATTAATTCTCTGAGGAGTATCTACTGTGTATGAATTAGTTGCGGTTCCTAGGAAGAGTCAGTAAAATAGAATTTCAGAGTAGAGGTGAAATTCCAACGAGGGATTTGCTAAGTCATGATCCATTTTTTATAGCTTGTCTCGGTATATACAGAACAATTATTCTTGCTGCTAATAAGAGGGTGAAACTTTGCGGCTAAGAATTATGATTGTAACATATTCAAAACCAACAAACCAGTGAGCCTTGGCGTTGTACTCATTAGTTTTCCAACATTTCTTTCCATTTTTTTTTCCTGAAAGAGGCTTACAAAGTAAAAACCACTACAACTGAAAACTCAAGTAATATCAAGGCAAAAATCAAGAAATGTTTCAGCTTCCAATGCAATCCCAAATGGGATTATCTTTTCTAAAACGGCTCATCCTGATTAGGGGCAGAAGATTTGTGAGGACACAAGGTTCCCTTTGCTTGCCCTGTGGGGTTATAAGCAAATGAATTCTTGCTGCTTTGCCTGGGGGGGGAGGGAAGATGTGGGTGAAGTGAGCTGCAAAAACAAATGAAAACATCAGCTTTGCCAGCTTCAACTGAGCCTACTTTGAAGTGGAAACCTGGACCGTGATGAAATAGAGCAGTTTTGCCCATCCTCTGCCTCTCTTCTATGTAGATGAAGCAGAGCCTAGTTGCAGCATAAGGAAAAGGCCCTTCAGGCCAAACATGAGACTCACAGGCTGGGGGTCCCCTTCTATGCATTGGCTTAGTTCAGGGGGCAGCAGAAGATACTTTGATAGCAGAGAAACAATGAGGTTTTGGGAAGGTCTGAAGAAGCATCAATGAAGCTGGAGAAGACAAAAAGGTCTCATTTGGGCAAAGAGTTTTAGAGTTTCAGGGAAAACTACCTGCTTGGAGAAGGAATCCTCCAGCTCCGTGATGTCATTGCAGAAGCCTCCAGAAGAGGAATGCAGGGAGACACCGTCCAAGCCAGCCCGGCAGGAGCCACCGTAGGGAAGGCCATGATCCAGCAGGTGAGGTCGAGCAGTAGCCATGGAGCCCTCATCCAGAGAGGCAGGTTTGCCTTCAAAGTAAGGGGCATTCTGGGCCTTGTCATATTCCTCAAACGAATATTGCATCCGCATGTTGGACAGGATGATGCGCCGTGACATACGGCTCTCTGATGCCGAACTTCTTAGACGCTCAAACTTTTTGTTCATGCGGTACTGGCGAAAGGCTGTTTGAATTGTACGAGCTGCCCGCCGGCTCAAGAAATAGCCCCCATACTTCCGCTCCAGCATCTCCACCTATGATGGGTATCAATAGGCAGAAGGGATTCGGAAAAGACAAGAAGGAGATGAGTGAGGAGAATAGGAAAATCGGAACATGAAGCTAAGAACAAGCCAAACAGCCAAAAAAGCTGGGATCTGAGCAAGATATCACGCAGGATTTTCTCAGAGCAAAAGGAGCCACAAGATATTGTCAATTTCCTCCAAAGAAATACATGAAGCAAGCTCAATCCAAAGCAGCCTATTGGTGTAGGGATGGCTCTTGAGTATTATGTCTTCAGGTCCTCAGGCACAGGCTTTCCCTCACTTGTTTTTTAACTGGAGGTGCTGGGGATTGACCTACAGCAGTGTTTCTCAACCTTGGCAACCTATTATATATTATGATGCATAATATTATATGTTAATACTAGAGCATGTGTTTTGCACATGGAAGGTTTGTAGGTCAGTGCTTCTCAACCTTGGTAACTTTAAGCTGTCTGGACTTCAACTTGTTGGCTGAGGAATTCTGGGAGTTGAAGTCCAGACATTTTGAAGTTGCCAAAAATGAAAAACATTGACCTGCAGAATTCTTCATGTGAAAAGCATATGCTCTAGTATTAAGCACTCTTTCTTAGGGTTTCTGCCTCTGTCTGCCCTTCCAATTTACAGATATTGGATCTTTAATCTTTTAAAGGCTTTTGTGGGACCATGTTTTCCTATTTCATAGATAGTTCCCACATTGACTGAATCTACAAAATCCTTTACTGCAGCCTTCAGACAACTCCCAAAATGCCCCACATTAATGCTGACTCACTGGACTTCAAGCAAGCCACAGGATCTTATTCCTGCACATCAGGAACCCCAGAAGCAAGGGTGCTCTCAAAGCTCAGCACAATCTATGACCAGATACCTTTTTGTCCTGAAGATCCGTTGAGAGCTCATAGCTGTCTGATAGTGCTGATCGTTTACTATCCTCCTCTTCCTGCTTCCTCAGCGCCACGCTGGCTGGCTGTAGCCGAGCTCGCTGGGCCCACGGAAGACCTGGTGACGGAGCGTGACAGACAGAAGAGGAAGATGGCACTAAATCATAGTGCTCAACCTTGGTCACCTCAGGGATACATCGGTATGGCTGACTGCCCACACTATCCACTATAGTTCCTGCCTCGCTTCCTGGAGGGTCTCCTTCCACACTGCAAGAAAGAGAAAAAAGGCTACATGAATGTGAATGAACAAAGGTTTTTTTTAAAAAATCATAGAGATCAAGAGTGTACCAACACCGTTTTGAACTCAGAACACTCCTCATAATGCTTGAAACCAGCCATTTTGCACTTGCAAGCAGTCACTTTCTTCTCAGAATGGCGGCTCCATGGAACATTTTGCACTCCCTTAGCAGCAATCCATCAATACTGTACTTTTGTACTATTTACTGTACCTTTCTCTCACATTATAGACCAATTCAGCCATGGAGAACTACAATTAATCTGTTGCACAAATTCTTTCATTGAACAAATTTCACAAATCCCTACTACAGATAGTCCTTACTTACTGACTGCCTCCTTCGCTGACTGTTCCAAGTTATGACGGCACTGAAAAAGTAGGCTTACAATCAATCTCGAAAATTGTAGCATTCCAGCAATCATGTGATTGTGGTCTGGCTGCTTTGCAATTGGAATATATTTATGATCACTGCAGTGTCTTTTGGGTCATTAAGCACAACATCCTATGATCACTATTTGTGACTTTCACTGCCAGGTTCCGACAAGAAAAGTCAGTGGGGAAGCCAGCAGGAAGTCGCAAGTTATGGTCATATGATGTTGTGCTTAATGATATGTGGTGCTTCAATTAATGACCACAGCAGAACAGATGCTCTAAGTCCAGCGTGGTCACATATTTCACTTAGCAACTGCATTGCTTAGCAATGGATCTGTCAGTCCCAATTGTGATCAGTAAGTGAGGACTGCCTGTGATCACAATAATTCTAGATTAATTTTTTCTCAGCAACATTTTGTTCTTATTCTCCTGAAGTAAGAAATAGACCCTGAAGCTTCTATTAGCATGTATTTCCTGAATGTAGAACAGGAGATGGGGGTGGGGGAGGCTGATAGATCAGAGGAATAATATGAAGGTAAGGGTTAAACCTTGATATAATCCACTCCAACTGTTTTGCGTTTGTTTTTCTTTTTTAGGAGAAGCAATTCTTTGTGCCCTGTAAAACTCCTACTGGAATAGTCATCTATACTTGTGAAAATCCAGAGGATGTTCCTTGCTTCTTTCAGCCACACCAGCTTGCCTGGGTTCTTCCAGGAGGACATTTCCTATCTATGAAAACTACTCTGTCATCTTTCGATCAGAAGGGAACTTTTGTAAAATAGAAAATTTCACGAGAGTTGCAAGTGGATGACAATATAGCTGACCAAAGACAAAAGGAATTCTATCCAACACATGCACATCAGCTGTCTGCGTCAAATAACATATGCAGCAAATCACACTGCAAACTCTGCTCCTTTTGTAGTGTGCCATGACATCACATACATATACATTGAGAAGCAGAACTTATAGTGATGGAAAACAGTATTTGATCCCCTGCTGATTTTGTACATTTGTCCACCGACAAAGAAATGATCAGTCTATAGTTTTAATGGTTGTTGTTAATTGCGAAGTCATGTCCGACCCATCGTGACCCCATGGACAATTTTAATGGTAGGTTTATTTTAACAGTGAGAGGCAGAATAACAACAAAAAAATCCAGAAAAACTCATTTCAAAAAAAGTTATAAATTGATTTGAATTTTAATGAGTGAAATAAGTATTTGATCCCCTATCAATCAGCAAGATTTCTGGCTCCCAGGTGTCTTTTATACAGGTAACAAGCTGAGATTAGGAGCATTCTCTTAAAGGGAACCTCCTTCTCTCAGCCAGGGCATTGAAAATGGGTCATGGATGGGTATTCTGGCATGGCAATAACCCAAAACACACAGTCAAGGCAACAAAAGAGTGGCTTAAGAAGAAGCACATTAAGGTTCTGGAGTGGCATAGCCAGTCTTCAGACCTTAGCCCCATAGAAAATCTGTGGAGGGAGCTGAAGGTTCAAGCTGACAAATGTCAGCTTCGAAACCTTTATGACCTGGAGAGGATCTGCAAAGAGGAGTGGGACAAAATCCTTCCTGAGATGTGTGCAAACCTGGTGGTCAGCTACAAGAAACATCTGACCTCTATGATTGCGAACAAGGGTTTTGCCACTAAGTAAGTATTAAGTCATGTTTTGCGAAGGGGTCAAATACTTATTTCACTCATTAAAATGCAAATCAATTTGTAACTTTTTTGAAATGCATTTTTCTGGATTTTTTTGTGTTATTCTGTCTCTCACCGTTAAAATAAACTTACCATTAAAATTATAGACTATAATTTCTTTGTCAGTGGGCAAATATACAAAATTAGCAGGGATCAAATATTTTTCCCCTCACTGTATGAATTATGAAGAACATTTCATCATTTTGACGCAAACTCTGGATTCATCTGGAGATCTTGGAATGCACCAAGAGGGAACCAAGTTGGAGAAGGCTGCTCCGTTCAGCTATTGCATCATAACTTTGACAAGTCCAGACTCCCCTGAACAGATGCATTCTTAAGCACAATAAGCATGTATGTTGTACACATCTGTTTTAGATAACAGTATCGGGTCTAATAAAATCAAATATACATTTCTAAAACTTCAGCACAGCTTAAAATTCACAAAGACAAACAAAGCTCACTTGGCATGTTTGTAAATAAAATACATTGGTGCCAAGGGAACTCTGGGCAAGATGGTTGCCAGGGACAACCAGTTATCTGGCAAGGGATGAATTCTGACAGGATGTGAACGTGAAATGTGGGGTTTCCTGCATGCAGGGGTCCAGACAGACCTAGACATGGCACTGGATATTTGCCAACAGCCTCATTTGCTAGTCTCTGGGAAACTCTCAAAAGCAAATGACTGAGACTGAGCTTTTACTGCCTAGAAAACTGATAGATCACAAGTTATTAAGGCCTGCTTCCAGTTTACCAAACCAGGAAGAAATACTCACTCCGTTGGGCAGGAGAAATTTACACTAGAATCACGCCCATCCCTCACTGTAACTTCACTCACCACCCAAATGTGTTCTCTCATCATCATCATCCCTAAGGAATGCAACTCCAAGTAGGAAAAATGTTCCTCAACATCCCTAACAGTCACATATGCAAGATGGGCAGCTGTGCAAACTGAATAAACAAATATATTCTAGAAAATTACAGTGTTGGCTGTGCCCCACAGGGGGTAGATTAGTGGTAGCCAAATAATCTGGTTTGCCATTCCTAAGGGATATTTTTTTGTATTTTTTATTAGACATTACATTTATTAACTACCATTAAAAAGAAGGAATAAAAGTATTATTGTCAGAACAAATTGGACTAAATAGGTCAGAGGACTGATCCAGTAAAATATAGATAAAAAGGAATAAAAGGAATTTAACCTGTGGAGGTTACAGTTTTCCAGTACATCATAAATCAGCTGTAAATAACTGATCATATTAAATCACATTCACATTCTAAAATAAAAATTAATACCAATAACAATGATCAATGCAGTATAACTTACCAAGTAAATTATAAGCTATAATAAAGTTCAATCCATATTACTAAGAGTCTGTTCTGATTTAAATAAACTTGTAAAACTGAATTATATAGGCCATATACATAGAGAAATGTACATTTTGGATGTGGTGGAATTCCCTAAATTAAATTGTAGTTTAGGAATGGTTTCCAGTTGAGTTGAATTCCATGTCAGATTTACAAAGTTATTACAGACATCAAAGCTTACTCCCACAGCTTGGTTAGCCATTTTTCCACAGAGGGTATCAAATATCCTTTTCAGTAAAAAGCTTATAGTATCTTTGTTATAGTTAGCATTTACAGAGATAATTCAGTAAAATTACTTTGAAAGAATATATGTTTAGCCAGAATATTGAAAGTTGAAATGGAAATTGAACTTTAGTTTTTTATGCTCTTCCCACCTCCTTGAATGGCCAAAGGCCAAAGGCTAAGTTGTTCTTCATTCCAACTGATGCAGTGGTGGGATTCAGCTGGTTCGCACCATTTCGGCAGAACCAGTAGCTAATTTTTTGTTGCCCAGGCCCAGAATGGACTTCTGGAACCGGCATCCACACAGAGAACCAGTTATTCACATATTTGAATCCCACCACTGAACTGATGCACAATAAAAGGAGTGTAAGCAATTCTACTTTGCCATGAAACTTACACCTGCCAAAATCCCCAATTCTTCATAAGAATTATACAGCCAGTGAAGAATCCCTATCTTTTCTTTTCCCTTTTGCACATTCATTCTACTTCTAAAAGCTCTTAAAAAGCTGAGTTCTTCTGCTTAAAAGTATAGTACTGGAACTTTATCCTCATTGGACTAAAGTGTTTTTTCTACTTTTAGCCCAACAATACCTTGGTTCTCCTATACAGAACTTTCAGACAATATACGAGAGTGTAGATTCTTCTCAGATTGAGATGATGGCCTGTAGAGGGCTCTGGACAGGAGACATTGTTGGGGTAAATTCAGCCAACTCGATTAGATGTCTACCTAATCTACGTCATTCCTCTACATTCCAATCTACCAATCTTAACAATGTCTAAAATAGACCACTCAAAGAAACTGTCTTTACTAGCCACAATATAATGCCTCTTTCTCTGTTTACGCTTGTGTCGTGTGTTCACATACGCTTTTCCTGGTCTGGTCTGGCTTCTACTCTAAAAACTTATTGCAGCTTTACCAGCACTACAGGTATGAGACTCTGGAAGGCTCCAGACTGGAGAAGGTTGACTTATTTAAAAAAGGTTATTTAGCAACCAACAACATAAACCCATGCAATGACTTTTCTGGTCTGAAATACCTAGAAACTTAATCATTCATAGCACTTCCAAGTCACTAAAGCAGTGGTTCTCAACCTTTTTAATGCTGCGACCCCCAACCGGTCGTAAGTCGAGGACTACTCAACCGGTCGTAAGTCGAGGACTACTCAACTGGTGCAGCACCGTTTGCAGAATGGGACTTTTGGCGGGCTCAGCAGGGCAGAGACAGCCTGGACAATTCCTATTGGTTTTTGAAAGCCAATAGAATTAGACTCTATTCAAGAGAGTCTATTCTATTGGCTTTCAAAAGCCAATAG